AAGATGTCGTTCATCGCCCTCTGGAAGGTAGCGGGTGCGTTGGTGAGGCCGAATGGCATCACCGTGAACTCATAGTGGCCGAATCGCGATCGGAATGCGGTCTTCGGCTGGTCGGCTGCAGCGACGCGGATCTGATGGTAACCGCTACGAAGATCAATCTTCGTAAAGAAGCGGTTGCCTGCTAGGCGGTCGAACAGCTCATCGGAACGAGGCATGGGGTAGCTGTTCTTAACTGTGTAGCGGTTGAGGCCGCGGTAGTCGATGCAGAGACGAAGAGTTCCATCCGCTTTGCGAGCAAAGAAGACGGGTGCACCCCACGGGGAGTTGCTGGGTTTAATGAAACCCAGTCTCAGGATGTCCTCAAGCTGACGCTTGAGTTCGGTGGCCTCGGGGATCGAGAGTGTGTAGGGTGCCTGGTGGTGAACACGATAGTCAGGCACGAGCGGAATGGAGTGCTCGACGTCATGCATCGGTGGGATGCCGGCGTACGAGAACGACGATGGGAAAGCGTCGTGGTACTCTCGGATGAGGTCACGAACTGCGGGCTCCAAGTCAGCCGTATATCGTGCGAGTTCCTCAACGTCAGCGTCAGCGCGCGACGGCGGGGTGGACTCGACGGACGGCAGAGGGACGGAAGTAGAGATGGGAGCCATGGAGATAGAAAGAGGATCTGGCTCCAGAGGGATGAGCTCGGTGTCGGGACAGGGTGGATCATAGTGTAAGGGATCCGTCACGTCCACCATAAAGAAGGTGACGTCGTCCGGTCGAATAAAGTGAGCGAACTATCGAGGCGAGGTGACAGTGATAGAGGGAGATGGTGTGGGCACTGAAGGCTCCGGGGGAGGAGGATCGGGGCATGGTGTCGCCGTGGTACCTATGAAAGGTACGCGATACGTTTGTCCACACTTCGTTTTGAGAATGAGAGTGTTGGTCGCCCAATCGGCCTCGGTGCAGCGGAACCGATGAGACCACAGAGTGCCGAGAATGAAGTCGTACCCCGTCTTTATCACATCGAAATGTGCAGAGGAGCGGTGGCGATGAGACGCCGGGGAACGCTCAGTCGGCTCGAGAGTGAGGAAGAAGGGGAGGTCGGTGACCGTCTGATCGAAGAAGCGCTGGGTCTTGTCATCCCCTAGGGTAACGGAGATGGGAGTCGGAGACCCTATGCGGGCTTCCTTCACCACGCGTGGGTGAATGAAGTCGCCCTGAGAACCAGAATCCCACAACGCTGAGTACACCCTCGTGGAGGTCCCGAGTCATACGGGGATGGAGCAGAAAGTTAAGCCTGTGGTGGTGGCTCGAGAGCGATCCGTACTAGATGGTGTATCTGAAGAAGAGATCGCTAGGAAGATTAAAGAGAGGAAGAAGAAGGAGCCACAACGGGTGACAAAAGAAAGGATAACGAAGATGGATATAGGAGATGAGAACTTAACAGAACAAGAAAAGGAGCGCGTACTAGAAGTTCTTAAGATTTGCGATAAGGCCATAGCCTTTAGTGACGTGGAAAGAGGGAGAATTGGTCCCATGTATGCCAAGCCTGGTAGGATCTACACGATCTCGCGTACTCCATTGAATGATGCGGGATGAAAGTTTGCACAGAAAGAGAAGGAAAAAGTCATCGCCTTTCTAAAGGAGAAGATGACCTCACACGTGGCGGAGCCATCTGATAGCGCGTACTCAAATAGGTGGTTCCTTTTAAGGAAGCCTAATGGGAAGATCCGATGGATTCAGGATCTTCAGAAGGTTAATGCAGTTACAATTCGAGACGTGGGCTCCATACCACACGCTGATCTATTGGCAGAAGGAGCGGCTGACAGATCTATTTACTCTGTCTGCGATATATTTTCAGGCTATGATGTGATACTCCTAGATCCTGGGGATAGGCACCTCACTGCCATGCACATGCCACTCGGATTAGTACAAATGATGGTCGTGCCCAGGGTTGTCGAGCCCCGGCCCCGGGGCCCCGGCGGGGAAAAAAAAAAAAAAAAATAGTGGGGGGTGCGCAGCGAAAGCGC